GTGTGTGTGTGTGTGTGTGTGTGTGTGTGTGTGTGTTTCTGTGTCATAAGACAACTTGCTGGAGTCAGTTCTCTCCTTCCACCATGTGGGTCCCTGGGATTGAACTGAAGTTTCCAGGTGTCTGACAAGTTCCTTTACCCACTGAGCCATCTCACCAGTCCTTGAGGTTTTTTAAATTGTGTGTGTGTGTGTGTGTGTGTGTGTATCTATGTGTATATGTGCTTGTGAGTGCAGGTGCCCACAGAAGGTTCAAATGTCCCTGGAGCTAGAATTACAGGCAATAATTATGGGCTGCCTGATGTGGATTCTGGGAATTAAACGCGGGAGAATAGGTGTTCTTAACCACTGATCTCCAATTCCAGCCCCTGAGGTTTTGATGGAGGTGACTGGATGAAAGGGTGATCAGTGAGGCCTGAATCCCAGGCATTGTGCTTAGGGACTGCAGAGAACTCAGCATGGAAGGGAGAGTGGATGGCCTGTCCCGTGGACTGCTTGGATAGGGAGGTGATTGGGGATGCAAAGCTCAAAGCAGCTGACCTTGGTGATATGGCTTGTTACAATGAAGAGAGGAGGAGAGGCCTGCAGGAGGCCCGGGTGTGAATAAGTCCTGATAAAGTTCCCTCACTGCAGGTCCTAACTTTAGTGGGGGAGGGGGAGGAGCGCTCAGTGCAAGAAGTTTCTGGTCAGGGATGCCGCTCTGCAGAGCAAGGTCCAATGCCCTAGGTCCCCTGCAGGCCTGACCGAGGATGAGGATATCCGAGCCATGCTGCGGGGCTCCCGGCTCCGCAAGATCCGCTCACGCACATGGCACCAGGAGCGGCTGTACCGGCTGCAGGAGGACTGTCTGAGCGTGTGGTTCCAGCGGCGTATTCCGCGCGCGCCGTCGCAGCACATCTGTGAGCGGGGCATGGGTGGCCCGGGGCGGGACGGCAGGGACAGTCGTGGACACCAAGGCTGCCATCTGACCCGGCTTTGCTCTTAGTTTTCGTGCAGCACATCGAGGCTGTCCGGGAGGGCCATCAGTCCGAGGGCCTGAGGCGCTTCGGGGGCGCTTTCGCGCCTGCGCGCTGCCTCACTATCGCCTTCAAGGGCCGCCGCAAGAACCTGGACCTGGCAGCCGCCACTGCTGAGGAGGCGCAGCGCTGGGTGCGCGGCCTGGCCAAGCTGCGCGCACGCCTGGAAGCCATGAGCCAGCGCGAACGACTAGACCAATATCCTGTTAGGCTGGGAAGGAGGGCGAGTCCTTGGAGACATAGCCAGGGATCCTGTCCTTAGGAAAACAAGCCAAGACAGTTCCTGGTGTTCTGAAATGGGGATGGAGATGCTCTCCCTGGCCTGGCCTGTGCTCCTAAGAGGATGAGGTATCGCCCCCACTGCAGAGAGTAGGCAGGGCCTCATAATTTGGGGAGCTAGAACCTGTGAAGATGTTGCCCCTTGTTCTGATACAGATGACTTAATCTGTTAATGCTGCCCAAGGGGACCCTGTCTATTGCTTGGTATTTCCTGAGCACGCACACCTGGATCCATTCCTATCTGCACCGGGCAGACTCCAACCAGGACAGTAAGATGAGCTTCAAGGAGATCAAGAGCCTCCTTAGGATGGTCAACGTGGACATGAATGACATGTACGCCTATCGCCTGTTCAAGGTGAACACCTGGCCCTGCCTCTGATCTGCCGACCCCCAGCCATCTGAAGCATTAGCTCTCTTATTCAATCCAGTGGTTGTTTTGTTTGTTTGTTTTGTTTTGTTTGTCTGAGAGAGGATTTCACTATATAGCCCAGGCTGACCTTGAACTTGTGATCCTCCTACCTCAGCTTCCTGAGTAGCTGGGATTACAGGTATGCATCTCTCCAGCTTTTTTTGTAGAGAGCCACCTCTTCTTGAAGAAAGGCAACATCTGGGCCTAGTTAACCTTTTCCCCTGCCCTGGGGTCACAGGGCCAGAACTTTCTGTGATACTTCAGGCCTCAGAGATATGGTGGTATCTCCAGAGCCCTCCGGTATGAACAGCAAAGCTGTTCTCATCTCTCTTAGTCTTCATGGTACCATCACCTATACATGTGACTATGTGTGGCTTTCACATTGGGAACACAGTCATGAGTGACCTGCAGACATAAGTACATACACACAGCTGTACAGGCTTCTCCATGAGGGACCCTCCACTGCACCATGAACTGGTGCCAGTGTGGGAGTTTGTGGCACACAGTGAACTCTGAATCTGTGAATCTGTATCAGGAACATGGCAGGTACCTGTATGGATGCTGAGTGTGTGACCATCCTGTGTCCCAGAAAGACAGGAGAGTCTACACACTTGTACACAGGACAATAGCTCTACATGGGCTACTTCTCCAACTTTCATTCACTAATTTCTCATTGATTGTCTCAGGATGGTGATGTGTACACATGGAGTGGCACTGTGGCACAAGACCTGCCCCAAGGCCACCGTTTTCTTCCTGGATCTTAACTTGGATCCTTGGGGTAGGTCATGGTACAAATGGACAGGCATGGATCTCAAGAGACCTGCAGTTCCCCAGGGGCATGGGCTACAAAAACTGGAGAGTAAGGAAATGGGGATCTTCCCAGCTGTTATGGATCATGGAGTGTGTCAATGGGGCCAGGTTCTCAAGAGCCCCTCCTCCCTGTTCCTGTTCTTCAGGAGTGTGACCATTCCAATAATGAGCGGCTGGAGGGGGCTGAGATTGAGGAGTTCCTCCGGCGACTGCTGAAACGCCCTGAGTTGGAGGAGATCTTCCACAGGTACTCGGGTGAGGACCACGTGCTGAGCGCCTCTGAGCTACAGGAGTTCCTGGAGGACCAGGGTGAGGATGGTGCCACCCTAGCCCGTGCCCAGCAGCTCATCCAGGCTTATGAGCTCAATGAGACAGGTGGGTGAGCACAGCTCAGTTTTGGCCCTTGGCAGCTCTGGGGTTCCGAGCCAGGCAAGTCTTGTTATCACTGACACAGGGGCACTGTCCCCGGCAGGTCTCCTTTCCTCTTCTATGTTTCACACCCATAGCCGTAAAATAGCTTTATAATGTGTCTGCAAGGTTCAGCGAAAGATTAAATGGCAAGGCATATGTAGTCCAGCAGTAACCTAGCTGTTATCACTAAGTTGAGTGAGTGATAGGAGCAATTTGAGTCTAGACACCTTGGCCTCTGTGGCCTGACACTCTCCCCTTCCCTGTAGCCAAGCAGCACGAAATGATGACATTGGATGGCTTCATGATGTATCTGTTGTCGCCCGAGGGGGCTGCCCTGGACGTGGCTCACACGTGTGTATTCCAGGACATGAGCCAGCCCCTTGCACACTACTTCATCTCCTCTTCTCACAACACCTACCTTACTGACTCTCAGATTGGAGGGCCCAGCAGCACCGAGGCCTACATTAGGTATAGTGGTGGGGGTACCACATCTGGCAGTGCAGCTCAGGATTATGGGGCTCTATCTTATTCTGTGCTAAGCCTGCCCACTACCCTGTTCTGTGACACACCCACACCTTGCCCATTCATCTGTCTGATCACACAGGGCCTTTGCCCAGGGATGCCGCTGTGTGGAGCTGGACTGCTGGGAGGGGCCAGGAGGGGAGCCTATCATCTACCATGGCCACACGCTCACCTCCAAGATTCTCTTCCGAGATGTGATCCAAGCTGTGCATGACCACGCCTTCACGGTGAGCCTCTGAGACCCCTTTCCCAGTCCCCGGGGAGGGGGGCTTTTTAGTGACTTCTTGCCTCTCCCACATACCAGATGCCCCTTAGTTTTTTCCAAAGGAAAAGCCCTTCCTAGAGCATCATTAATTCAGCAAGTGTTGTGGGGATAACTGGCGGAGGGGATAAGAATAAAGCCTAGTAGAATGCTCCCTCTTCCCACCCTCATGGCTAATAAATGTACTGACATCACCAAATTTCCAGAAAAAAACCTTGGGGTCTAAGGGCAGACCTCTTAGTCTTGACTTCCCAAGAGTAAGCTCAGGTTGAGCAGTGGCATCTGTGTAAGCTTTACAACTTTGTTTGGGTTCAGCGGTGGCATTTGTCTAAGCTTTGCAGTTGTCAAGGTAACACAATCTCACAAACGATGGGGTTTGCCACATCACTGACATGGTCAGTGTCACTAGCCCTTAAAAAGTATGTATAATGAGCCAGGCGTGGTGGCACACGCCTTTAATCACAGCACTTGGGAGGCAGAGGCAGGTGGATCTCTGTGACTTCGAGGCCAGCCTGGTATACATAGCAAGTTCCAGGTAAGCTGGGGCTACAGGGAGACCCTGTCTCAAAAAGACAAAAAAAAAAAAAAAAAAAAAAAAAAAAAAACATGTATAATGGAAGTCATTCCTGCAGCCACCCTCAGTCTCCAGACAGTCCATACCTTCCCTATGGTCCCAGATCTGATGTCTGGCACCTCCATGCACATACTAGTGCCACTATGCCCCATGTCTTCCAGCCTTGGTCCCTTAGGATAAGTTCTCCATGGCCCTGCCTTTGCCTGTTTGTCCTGAAAGGGTTGGGCACCATGTGTAGGGAAGAACTGGCAGAGGGAGGGTGAGTCTGAGCAGCTGCCTGTCTCCTCTGACAGCTGTCCCCATACCCTGTTATCCTGTCCCTTGAGAACCACTGCGGGCTGGAACAGCAGACTGTCATGGCCCACCACCTTCGAAGCATCCTAGGAGACATGCTGGTGACACAGGCACTGGACTCCCAGAACCCCGAGGAGCTGCCGTCTCCTGAGGTGATGTTCCCAGACCCCCACCCCCTCAACATGACTCATTCCACCCCTTTGGTTCAGAACCCCTCACCTTTTTCTGCTTGGACCTTTTCCTTCTCCGCTTTGCTGGCATCTGCCACTCATGTCTTTTTGCTGCCCTCTGGTTCCCCATTCCTGACTAGACCCAGCGCACCCTCTTACCAGGCATTCAAGACCTTCTATGATCTATGCCTGTCTCATCTGCTCTGTGTCCCCTCTCACAGAGTCCCTGCAGGTCCAGCCACCTCCACCTCCATGGCATGAGTGGGCATTTTTCCATCTATATCTCCTTTCCCAGCCACCTGCACTTGTCCAATGCCACCTGTTTAGGACTCCAGCTAAGCAAGGCTAGGATTGTAGCTCAGCAGTTTGGTGCTTGCCTAGTGTGCATGAGGCCCTGGGTTCTATCCCTAGTGTCACAAAAACAAGGGGGGAGGGGCTTGCTACTCACAGCCATCCCACCCTGTTTCACAAGTTTCTTGTGTTCTTGTAGAATTTTTCCATATATGCCTGTATACATAACTTTCTTCTCATCTATTTATTTGGCTTTGTTATTGCTGCTGTTTTGAGACAGGGTCCCATGGAGCTCAGGTTGGCCTCCAATTCGCTGTGTAGCCAAGGATGACCTTGAACTTCTGATCCTCTTGTTTCCATCTCCTCAGTGCTGGGATTAGGAGTGTGGTCACCATGACTGTTTTATAACGTGCTGGGGATAGAACCCAGGACTTTGTGTATGCCAGGCAAGCACTGTGACTACTGAACTACACCCCTAGCTCTGAATAGTTGGGATTTTTTTTTTTAGCCCAAACTGGCCCTGAACTTGAGATCCAGCAAGATGTGGGGCACACATCTACTGTGACAGAAGGATCAAGAGTTGAAGGCCAGGGGCTGGAGAGATGGCTCAGTGGTTAAGAGCACTGGCTGCTTTTCCAGAGAACCCAGGTTCAAGAGTTGGAGGCTTAAAACCAAATGTGGTGGTACAAGCCTGTGTAATTCCAGTGCACAGGGAAAGGGGGGCAGGGGGATCAGGCGTTCAAAGTTACCCTTGGCTACATACTGAGTTTGAGGCCAACCCAGGCAACATAAGACTGTCTCAAAAAAGAAAAGTTACATGCCCTGAAGTCACTCCTTCAGTGAAAGAACTTTTTGGGTAGGAAAAGATCTTTTTGAGTAAGAGATACGTCCCTTTCAATCCTAAACTGCCTTTGGTCATTGTAAGGGCTACTGTGTGGTATTCTGACAGATACCTTTTTAGCCATCCCCTATCAGTGGCCTTGTAGTTCCTGTCCCAATTTTTCATATTCAAAACATCTCTCCTGTCTCTCACCTGCCCCCTTAGCCCCCAGCCGCTCTCACAGTGGGGGCTGAATGACTGACAGGTTGCCTGAGGGTCCTCACTTGTCCATATTGGCCTCTACAGCAGCTGAAGGGACGGGTCTTGGTGAAGGGCAAGAAGCTGCCAGCTGCTCGGAATGAGGATGGCTGCATTTTATCAGACAGGGAGGATGAGGAAGAGGAGGAAGAAGAGGCTGAAGAGGCCTCAGAGGTTGCAGAACAGAGGCGGAGGGTGAGTGTGCTAACTGGGTCAGCAGGCTGGGTCCTACTGCAGAACTATGGGTGGGGGAGCCTAAGCAAAGGGATTCCCACTGAGGCTAGTCTCCCAGGCTAAGCAGATCTCCCCGGAGCTGTCAGCGCTGGCTGTGTATTGCTGTGCCACCCACCTGCGGACCCTGCACACCAGTCCTGGCTCCCCTCAGCCCTGCCACGTCAGCTCCCTCAGCGAGCGCAAGGCCAGGAAGCTCATCCGGGAGGCAGGTAGGAGCCAGACAGTGGGCATCTGGGGGCAGAAGGGCAGCAGGGTCCTGCAGGATTCTGGGGGCCAGAAAGGGGTATCCTGAAGTTAGTCTAGAGATTGAGAGGGCTTTAGGGGGACCTATGGGAGGTTAGAGAAACCCAGGGAAGGAGAATGAAGGCCCCACTCCAGGCTAGGTGTGGGTGGAGAGCCACAGATGGGAGAGTCTTGGAGCTGCCTTTACCACACTCACCACCTAGTGGTGGGCCAGTCATAGGCAGGCTGGCCAGTTAAGCCGGTGGCAGCCCAGCAGGAAGGTATGAGATCAGAGAAGACCTCCTGAACATACCATGCCTGAGAAGACACTGTTACTGCAGAGTAAGGAGGAAGCCACAGGGGAAAGAGAAGGGACTCTGCACTGGAGAAACAGGTTGTACAAAGGCCTGGAGGCATGGCCACAGCAAGGGTTCCAGGAACCCAAGGCATGGCTGGGGGTGTGGGCAAAATAAATGTCAAAGAATGGCAGCCTGGGGCCAGGAATGTAGGCACTGGGAATGCAGTGTCAAGCTGTGTATCTGCAGAGTGTCCCTACCCCTCTCTGGCCCTCAGCAGCCTTATCCGTCTCTTCTTACCCCAGGTCATAAGGCAGTGAGGAGCTGGGGTGGCGGTGGGGTGCTACAGGCCCTGGTACAGGCAAGGGGTAAAGCCTGAGTCCTCTCACAATCCGGGCCCCAATTCTTCCCTAGGGAACAGCTTTGTCAGGCACAATGTTCAGCAGCTGACCCGAGTGTACCCACTGGGGCTGCGGATGAATTCGGCCAACTACAGCCCCCAGGAGATGTGGAACTCCGGTTGTCAGCTGGGTGAGTGGGACCACAAATCGGGATGACTTCTTGTCAGCAATGGGCACCTCAGCAGTGAGCTGCCACACAGCTTGCCAATAGAAAATGCATTTGGTTGATAATGTTTAAAAGGCTGTTGGAAATGTAGGTGGGAAAATCAAATGAAGTGCATTTCTTCTTAACAATGTAGAAGGTACATCTGTATGTCAGGCACACATTTGTAATCCCAGTACTTGGGAGCTAGAGACAGAAGGCTCAGGAGTTTGAGGTCATCCTTGTCTACATACTGATTTTTGAGGCCAGACTAGGCTACATAAGACTGTCTCAAAATACCATAAAAGTTGTTAAATTTTGTTTTGTTTTTTTTTTTTTTTTTTGAGACAGGGTCTCCCTGTAGCCCCAGCTGGCCTGGAACTCACTATGTAGACCAGGCTGGTCTTGAACTCACAGAGATCCACCTGCTTCTGCCTCCCTGAGTACTGGGATTAAAGTATTGCCTGCATATATGAAAGTGAACTCATGTCGTGCAGTGCCCACAGAGATCAGAAGAGGGTGTTGGATTCCCCTGGAACCGGAGTTACAGACAGTTGTTAGCTGCCATGTGGGTGCTGAGACCTGGACCCAGGTCCTTTGCAAAAGCAGTCTAATCACTGAGCCGACTCTCCAGCCCCCCAAATTTTTACTTATTTATTTGGTTCTTTTTTGTTGGTTTGTTTTTTTTTTTTTTTTGGTTTTTTTTTTTTTTTTTTTTGGTCTTTTTTTTTGAGACAGGGTCTCCTTGTAGCTCCAGCTGGCCTGGAACTCACTATGTAGACCATGCTGACCAGACTGGCCTTGAACTCACAGAGATCCGCCTGCCTCAGCCTCCTGAGTGCTGGGATTAAAGGCATGTGCCACCACACCAGGCGTTGTTTTTTTTTTTTGAGACAGGGTCTCCCTGTAGCTCCAGCTGGCCTGGAACTCACTATGTAGACCATGCTGACCAGACTGGCCTTGAACTCACAGAGATCCGCCTGCCTCTGCCTCCCATCTGGCCCCCCCACATTTTTTAAAACAGGGTTTCCTCACTGTACTTGGGGGTTGCTCACCCCTTTCATTAGACTGGCCGGCCAGCGAGTCCCATACCCCAACTGCTTGCCTCTGCCCCACAGCACTGAGATTATAGATGCACACTGCCATGCCTGGCTTTTACGTGGGTACTGGGGATCCAAACTCAGATCCTCATGCTTGTGCCACAAGCACTTTGCTCACTAAGCCATCTATCTACCCAGCCTCCCAAAGTTGTATTTTTATGAAGGTAGAAATTTAAAAACCCTGATTGGGTGTGGTAGCACATGGCTGTGATCCCAGTACCTCAGGAAGCTAAGGCAGAAGATTGTGAGTTCATGGCTAGCCTGAGCTAGAAAGGTAGTTTAGGCCAACATTGTTATATAGTGAGACTATATCAAAAACAAAACAAGAAGGGGCAGGAGAGATGGCTCAGTGACTAAAAGAACTTGCTGCTCTTGCAGAAGACCTAGGTTCAGTTCCCAGCACCCATATGGCAGCTTACAACCATCTGTAACTCCAGGTCCAGGGGTTCCAACACCCTCTTCTGGCCCTCTCAGGCACTGCACACATGTGGCGCATGTATATATGGAGGCAGGGTAGCACTAACTAGTGTAGGAGAGAAGCTGTGTCTTCTGTCTAGCCTGGTTGCTTTTGAGCTGTGAGGAGAGAGCTACTTATATCCCTTGCTCAATCCTGCTGTCCACTCCACAGTGGCTCTGAACTTTCAGACTCCAGGCTATGAGATGGACCTCAACACAGGGCGCTTCCTCATAAATGGGCAGTGCGGCTACGTCCTGAAACCTGCTTGCCTGAGGCACCTTGACACAACCTTTGACCCCGAGTACACTGGACCCCCCAGAACTACTCTGACAGTCCAGGTCAGCAGCCTGGTACAAGCCTCAACCTCAGGTCTGAGCTAGCTCTGGAGAAGTGCCGGTCTGAGGGGAAGACAAGGGAGGCCAGGGACAGGGGCATGAGGGCAGCCCAAGTGTCTGCATTTGTGCAGGAGGAGGGCCAGGATGAGTGTGAGGACTAGGGGCTTCCTGTTCAAGAGTAGCAAGGGTGGGCATGGGCCTGAGTGGGGGCTGGGAAGAAGCTGCTGTTCCTCCCTCCTCCAGGTGCTAACCGCCCAGCAACTGCCCAAGCTGAACGCTGAGAAACCTAGCTCCATCGTGGATCCTCTGGTTCGAGTGGAGATCCATGGGGTGCCCGCAGACTGTGCCCGCAAGGAAACTGATTATGTGCTCAACAATGGTAGGTGGGCTGCTGGTAGGAGGGTGGAGCAAGCCCTGCGACCAGTGGACCCTGACGGCCACAACCTGTGCCCTAGGCTTCAACCCTTGCTGGGGGCAGACCTTGCAGTTTCAGCTTTGTGCCCCAGAGCTGGTGCTGGTCCGGTTCGTGGTAGAAGACTATGATGTCACCTCCCCCAATGACTTTGTGGGCCAGTTTACGCTGCCTCTCAACAGCCTGAAGCAAGGTTGGTGGTGGTGAGTGGGGCGAGAACTATAATAGGATGGGGTCCCAGCCTCCCAGACACTGACTTCTGACTGCCTGCTCCACAGGGTACCGTCACATCCACCTGCTTTCCAAGGATGGAGCCTCTCTGTCCCCAGCCACACTCTTCGTCCACATTCGCATTCAGAACTCTTGATGGATCCACTGACTCCCCCCTGATCAGTGGGTATCAGTCTGTATCACTACAGAGAGGCCTCTCCAGTCCAAGGGACCATGGGAGTCAGCCCCTCACCTGTCCTGCATACCAGGTTGCTGGACTCACCTGGGTGCTGAGAGCTGCTCAGTCCCTCCTGAGGGACAGATCCAAGCATGAGCTGTGCTTTGTCCAGAGATTCACTGGACTTCAGTGGGCCCCAGCTCCCTTAATCTTCTGCCTACTCACTCACTCACTATCTGCCCTGCACGAGCCATCCCCCTTCTTCCCCAAAGGGGTAGAGCCACCTACATTGCCTCTACTGGGGCATTAGTGGGACCCTAGGCCCTCCTACCCCTCGGGCTTTCTCCCTCCTGCTCTTGAACTTGAGCTCGCCTTTCCTTCCTGTCACAAGCAAGAAGAGAGTGGATGAGGCAGAGCCCTGGGGAACCTTGGCAGGAGGTTTGTGATTTGTGTCATTGAAGAGCCTTGGAGAGGGTGGGAGAGTAACTATTTTTAACAATAAAGAAAAAGTTTACTTTCCTACTTTATTCCCCAGGCCCAAGAGGGACCAGCTAGAGTGAGGGCCTCTGGGGACTCTTTTTCCCGATGGGATTTGGGTTTCTCTGACAGCCAAGGAGTGGCTACAGGAAATGCCATAGCTCAAAGTAGCCCTGATCCCTGCCCTGGGCCAGAGGCTACCAATTCATAAGGTTACCACCCCCACTACACATGAGGCCTTAAATGGGGAGGGGGGAGGGCTCAGTAGGACACATTCCAAGGACAGGAGCCCTTGTTGCCAACCAGCCTTGCAGAGGAAGGCACCAGGCAGCTCTGTGCTGCCACTGACAAATGGCAGAGTGTGATGGATACCAGATGACAGGATCTGAGAATATCCCAGGCCCAAACCTGTCAGGAAGGGGCCCCTTATGGGAACCTAACTGCTGTGGCATTTTAAGTTCTACTGGGCAATAGCATCAGCAATGGCAAAGGCAGAGAGAGCCATTTCTACAGGGTGGCCTGGGGTCAACCTGGGCTCCAAGTCCCATAGAACCAAAGTCTGAGGCAGCTTCCACCTTCCTGCCACCCTATGACCTGAGGCCAGAAGTGCTAGCTTTTTACGTGGCCTGTGTTTCTCTGATGGATTTGTTTCTAGAGATGATCAGGATCTGAGGGGGTCTAGGGAGGATGGACTAGGTATGTGAACTGCAGCCCCAGGGTGGGACACAGCTGAAGTCAAGTCCAGTCTGAGTGTATGAAGAACAATTTGAGTTGTTCAGTCCACACAAGGCTGCTCTGGTCAGTGCCTGGCTGTCAGGAGTACACCAGGCTCAGTGCTGAGACCCCATTGTTTCTCTTCTCTAGCTTGGCGCAAGGTAGCTAGGGTGAGCCAGAGTTGGGAGACTAGAGTCCTTAAGGCAGGCTAAGGTGATAAGAAGTAGAGGCAAAGGAGAAATCAGTTGTAGCTTTGGAGGTCCCTGAGTGGAGGCTACCCCCTAGGCCCGTGTTCTCCCAGCTGAAGCTAAGGGCAGGAATGAAGGCTTTAGCCTTCAGGAATAGGAGTGATCTGGTCAGTGGATGGGGCTAGGATGCACTACAGCACTTGAAAAGCAAAGGCTGGTGGTTCTCTGTGAGTTTGAGACTAGCCTGGTTTACATATCAAGTTTCAGGCCAGCTAGGCCTGCATAGTGAGACTCTCAAAACAAAAAAGCAACAACAAAAAACACCCCTAGGACTGGGGTTGGAGCTCAGTTGTGCCTCTCTGGGCTCAACCCCCAGCACTGCCAAACATTAACAAAAAGAAAAATCAAAAAGCACTTGAAAAATATTATTATTTTTATTTCATGTGTATGAATGAGTGTATTGCTTGCATGTAGGTAAGTGGACCCATGTCATGCAATGCCCAAGGACAGAAGAGGCCATTGGATCCCCTGGAACTAGAGTTACAGACAGCTGCCATGTGGGTGCTGGGATTCAAACCCAGGTCTTCTACAAGAACAACCAGTGTTGAGCCATCTCTCCAGCCCCCCAAAAGCACTCTTAAAGCTGGGCTTGGTAGGACAGGACTTTAATTCCAGCTACTTGGGAGGCCAAAGCTGAAGAATCACAAGAATTGCATAGGCTACAAGTTCAAGGCCAATCTTGGAAACCTAGTGAAGCCATCTCAAAATAAAAAAGTAAACTGAGCCAGGTGTGGTGGCGCATGCCTTTGATCCCAGCACTCAAGAGGTAGAGGCAGGCGTATCTCTGAGTTCAAGGCCAGCCTGGTCTACATAGTGAGTTCCAGGCCAGCTGGGGCTACAGGGAGACCCTGTCTTCTGACCTCCATAATCATACCATGGCAGGGGCACCCCCTCCCCCAATCAGACCATCATACACACCAACCTGAGGGCCCATAAAGAGTTCTTACTTAGCGTGTATGAGGTAGCTATTCTGCTCCCAGAGGGGAACAGGATGGCTCCTCCACCAAGGTGATCAGTACCTGGCTGTTCTCCTCACATGGAGTAACCTGAGTCAGTGCCAACTCTGTGGTAGGTGAGAAAGACTGGGACGACACAGCTATGTGTGCCCTAAAAGAGGGAACTTGTAAAGCTGGCCTGGTGCTGTGGTCATGGGGGGAGCTTTCTTATCACCTTCGTGCTAACCCAGGCCCCAGGACTCCTGCCGCCTGTTCCGCTGCCACCTGCTGACCAGAGGAAGACCAGGAGAGACCAGTCTGTTTAGCTGCTTCCTTTATTAGAAACAAATGAGACGTATTGAGTGGGACAACACATTTGGTATTTCTGCCCCCACCCTGGCAATGAATGCCCCCAGTACAGCCTGAAGAAAAGCCAAGACAAAAAAGTGAAGCTTCCCCTTCCCTGTCCCCAGATGCAGCACCTGCCTGCCAGTCAGTCAGCATTTTGAGATTTTGAGAATGAAATTTTCCTAAACAGCCCTCCCAGGTGCAGTCCATCTTGTAGGCCTGCCTTCACTTGCAGCGGGGCAAAACTGAGGCCTTGGGTCTCCTCAGGTTCTGGGGCAGGCAGACCAGGCCATAAGAGACAGTTTGTCCCCTTACCTGACCCGAGAGACTCTCCTAGACTGTAGACAGCTCCAGGAAAACTGTTCAGAGCCTTTGGGCCCTCAGGTTGACTTAATGCTGGTCATCCTTGGAGAAAGAATTCAAGACCTCAAAGACACCTGCCTCCAGGCTTCAGAGTGCCAGCAAGTAAGGGGGACAAATGGCGGTAAGAAAAGCAAGGTCTGAAATTTTCCATAAAAAGTGTTAGTGGAGCTTGATGTGAGCCAACCTTCGGACATCAGCATCTTCAGACATAGGCACAAGTGGGAAAATGAGCCCTATACAGGCCTCAATCCGGAGTTAAGGCCTTTCTACCCAGCGTGCTCCCTACAGACTGGAGTCCATGGTAGCATGGAGTCAATCCCAAGGCAGGAGGTAAAGGTGGTCTTCGGAACATGGCAACCAGAAGACTGGGCAGCAGAAGGCGTGGGGCACATTCAGAGAGGCCTTCCAACAGTGGCTGCCAGAGACAGGCTTGGAGGCCCCAGGATCCTTCTTTTGTTTGGTTCAAGCCAGTCCTCGTGCAGCCATACTACAAAGACTGTGGGGTGGCTCTGAACCCCACAATGGTGCTCTTTGGCCCCTAATCCCAGGAGAACTGAATGAAGACCACAAGCAGAGTTTGGATAAAAACAAGACTAAAGGCACCCCTGAGCCAGCTCCTGCAGACCTGGGCATGACCCTCAACACGTGGCAACGGCAGAAGTGGAGAGGCAAGCTGCCTGGCTTTGGGGGAGGAGATGTTGCCAGCAGATCTGTTTCTTCCAGAGCAGTCCTCTGGGGCTCACTGTTTTGTTCCATGACTGGGGTCAATGAAACCAAAGCTCACTCCAGAGATTTGTGTACCCCAAATCTGATGCAACTTGATCTGAGATCTGGCCTGGAACTGATCAAGACTAAGACAGGGAGCCTTCCCACATTCCAGGCCCCACCCAAGGTAGGAAAGACTTGAGCACTTTGTTCTTTGAAGGTCTGGGCAGGGTGAGCCCACTCTGGCACTTAGGGCACAGTGTCTGATGACTGTGAGGCTGTAGGGCAAGCCCCTGCCCTCTGACTCCTCCCAAACGCAGAACTCAGGGCACATCTTGCCAGGAACAACAGCTTCTTTGGTATCTCGGAGTCACAAGTCAGCCACCTTCACTGCTGCTTGCATTTTGCAGCACAGGACAGTGAAGGGAAGGAAGGTCCCTAGAAGCCTGATGAGACTCCACCGCAGCAGAGCTGCTGCCTCTAGCAGCAGCCTACACAGCAGGCAGCATCCACACACGGCATAGCCCCCATCTTAAGCACTTCAGCTTAGAAAGCCGCACAATTAGTTTCTGTAAAACTACACCAGGAGCTACAGTCTGAAGCAAAGCCTTGCTCGCCTGTAGACCAGCTTTAGTTCATGGGATGAGGCCGAAGCTGGTTTCTGGCTAAGGCTTCCCATACAAACCTCCCCAACAAAAGCCAAGAGGTGAAAGAGCAAGGAAATGCTCCATTGCATACCAGTTCGGGTTTTCTCCTACAGCAAAAGTTACAAGGAAGCTGGATGTGGTTGCTGACAGTTCACAGCCTAATCCTCCCAGGCCACTAGGCTGAACACCACTGATGAATGCCCACATGGGCAGCCATGTGACCAGAGGCTTGATTACTTCTGGAGAGAACTACACAGAACAGCCTCGACAATAATCAGAATCAGACAACGGCAATATTGCCAAGTCCAGATCGGCCTCTAGTTACTATTTTTTTGCTGCCACTACAGGCTTCACATCCTAGAAAGGAGACAAGGGAGCACAGCAAGAGACGGCTGATGGGCTGGAAGGCACAGGCAGAGGCTAGGGCTGAAGGACCTGCGTACCGGCCCACACCATGCCTACTCAGCCACCCAGGGATGCTGACTCTTTGCTCTAAGATGAGTTAAGCAGGGCTTGCACTGATGTGGTCTCTACAAGGTCTCGGATGCTACAAGGATGTCCAAGGTCCCCTTCAAACTGCCAGCCATCTGAGGCAGTGAAGGCAAAATCTCTCAGAGAACACATACCTGTTAGGTTGGCAACAGCCAACTCAAAAGCCTTTTAAAATCACTTGGCAGGATGATCTCCTATGGGAGAAGGCCCAGGGGATGGAAGAAATCCATTTCCATGATTATCCCTACTTCCAAGTCTCAGAATGAGGAAGTCTGGCTCCTGCCCTGGGCCAGTCCCACTGCGGAGCTCAACCTGCCATCCTGGAGATCTGAACCCTCTCCTAAGCTGGCAGGCCCTCTGCCTTCCCTCCCTGTTCACACCAGTTGGTCAGCCAATTCTGAAGGGGGACTGGATGAGGGTTCCCAGATCCTCTTTGTCCTGCTTCCCCTGAGAAAAGCCAGTACCTGCTTCTGAGGAAAACACAAGAAATGTGCCGATACGTGCCTGTCCACTGCAGTCCTTGGTTCTAATTTTGAGGAATGACTGGATTCAGCTTTTCATTAGAGACCAAACATCCTTGTACATTTGGAACATGAAAGATATTTAAAATATTTCTATATATAATATATATATATACTTTTATTATTCACCCGTTAACTCCATAATATGCCAATCACGAGCTAGGTTTCAGCAGTTACATTCCCTTGATCATGGCTGCACGAAGATGTAATTAATTGAAAACAGGAGACCAGAGACACGGCCAAAAGTGACATCACGCAGCCTACGCCATTGCAATACAATTGTCAAGTTCGTTGGCGGTTTGGTAAAGCCGGTTCAGTTCTGTTCCCCTTGCCAGGAATTCTCATGTTTGTGAAAGTTGGACCAACAAGTGTTAGGATTCCATTTCCTGGTTTGAATTCTCAGTGGCTTTATCCAGAATCTCACTGATAACTAGTTACTGTAACACCAGCCCAACCTAGGAGAGCCAATGGAGAAAGGTCGCGTTGAGTTGACAATGTCCAAGACTTTTCCTACCTCCCCAGTCCTGAAGTTCAGACCCAATGAGCTCACAGAAAAATGCCCATGCTGTGGGAGAGCTCAGGCTGAACCTGGGCTTCTTACCCCACCTCTGCCAGATTTACAGCTCTATCAGATCCTTCAAGGAAAGCAGTGACAGTATTGAAGAACACTGGGCCAAAGGCCTCCGTCCAGCTCACAGTCAGTGCTTTATAAATGCTGACCATTTCCATGCCCCTGGGCTGCCCTGAGGAGGTGGGGGATGAAGAGCTAAGGAAGGGCCCACTGAGATGAGAAAGGCAGCCCAGGACAGGAATGACAGATCTGCAGACGCTAACCATGGGCAACAGGAATGACAGATCTGCAGACGCTAACCATGGGCGACAGGAATGACAAATCTGCAGACGCTAACCATGGGCAACATTATTCCATGATTTCCATGATTTCCTCAAGTGATTCCAGCTACTCAGGAGGCAGAGGTAGAAGGGTCTTAAGTTCAAGACCTGCCTGGGCTAGAGTGAGCTTCAAGGCCAGCCTGAGCAACTTAAGTGTCAAATATAGATATAGGCTGGGTGTAGTGGCTCACACTTTAAATCCCAGCACTTGAGAGGCAGAGGAGGCAGCTCAGACTCTCTGAGTCTGACAACAGCCTGGTCTACACAGAGAGACCCTGTCTCAAAATAAAATAATCGTGTATATATACACATACATATACACACACACACACACACACACACACACATATATATATATAAATTTATATACACACACACATATAAAATCTTAAAAATTTCAAGGTACAACAGTTGCCTAGCATGTGTGAGGCCCTGGGTTCAATCCCCAGTATTATCACCCAAAACCAGAAAGCCTTATCCCAGTCAGATGGTTGGCTCAGTTGGCAGCAAGAGAAGTAGGAGACTACCTTCCTACTCCTGTGAGACTCCAGCCCCTGGCCTTCTGTCATCCTCACTTGCTGGTCTGGCCATCAGATGGAGCAGATTTTCCAAGGCCTAAACACTGATTGCTATGGGCCTAGACTGATGTAACCTCTTTGTGTTATTTTATCTGTCAGGTCAGCCTCTGGCTGGCCCACACATACCTTCTCGGCCCCCATGCTGGGACATTTCCAATTATACAGGTAATACTGCAGGTTGCCATCCCCTATGCCAAACTTGAGCTTCTCCAGGAATGTTTTGTTCTCCATGAGATCCAGTGCATTGAACACGTCAAACCCTTTCTGAAGGTTAGCAGAGAAATGAGAACAGGTGAAGACAGGCTGCCTCACCTTCCTTCCCCCCTGCCATCCTAAAGGCAGCCACAGAGCAAGGTTCCTTCAGAAGCTCCAGCTCCATCCTGGTTAGATCCAAGCTCCAGTCAGTACTCAGCTCTCCAGATGTGCTTCCCAGACGACCTCCAACCTGGCCTTTCCTCAGTGTCTCTTGGAGTAGACCAAGACCTGAGCTCATTCCTCTGAGAAGCCAGCTCCTATCTACTTCCTAACTCCATGGTGTGAACAGTATGACACTTGATATGCTGCTTTAAGGACACAAATTCCAAATCTAACCAAACTGATCTGATGGTCTCATGGAGTAAGGACCAACCTACCCATGGGGTGTAGGAGAGGATCAGAGCCTTAAGAAGGCCAAGTGGATGGTCTGACAACTTACCATCTGGGTTTTCTAGTCAGTCATTCCAATCACTCACTGGGACAGAGCCGAGGTTCCCTGCCCACGATGGGAAAACCAGAAGAACCCCAAGCCCAGAGCCAGCTGCCCCACTGAAGCAGCTTAGTGCCTCTACTTTGGACACTAGACACACTTTGGCCCTCCTACACTGGAGTTTGGGGCTGAAAACTGATGGGACCCTGCTTAAGAGCAGGAACTTGAGAAGGCTCCAAAGCCCCTAGCTCCCAGGCAGCAAGCTCACCACTGCTCCACTACCCTCCCCTCAGATCTCTCAGCATCCCCCCCTCCCAGTCTGTTCCTTACCATTTTGGCGAGAACCAGGGCATCATTCATGAGATCTAGAAGAGGGGTTTGGGTGTGAACGTTGTAGAAAGAGTAAGCAGCTTTTAGACTCTTGTGGGTTGGATGGTTCATGATGGTGGAAGGAAGCGCATAAAAGCTCAGGAAATCTGTCACCTCACCGTTGGCATTCTGAAGGAAAGAATAAAAAGGCAGAGTCATACAGCACCACTGCCCAGAGCACGTGCTACTCGCACACCACCTTCAGAAATGCACCCCTCCAGCTGAATGAGTGGAAACTGGAACTGGATATGCAATGAGAGGATCACTGGCTAAGGGCACTTGAGGACAGAGCCAGACTGGACTACAGGCCAAGCTACTAGCCTCCTTTCCTGCTGGGCAACGCCACGGATGTCTCCCTGTGGCTCACACCCTCAGATGGTGGCTTTGTGTCTGGACAGCGTTAGTTTCAGCTGACAACACAGAGAAGCAAAGGCTTACCTGACTAAGGTGTGTGGTGCTCTCTATTCTGTATTAATCAGGGGTGGGGGACCCAAGTCAGGATCTAAGGCACAGGGTTCTAACAGACACAAGTTATGACTCCCTGACTTTTAGAGGATCAAACACAGAGACTTCAGAAAGCTTAGCATGGTAACACCAGGTACCTGGAAACTTGGCAGTTTCTGGAACTGCTGGCCAACTCACCTCTACCACAAAAGTGTCAATGATGTTCTCCTGGGGGTAGAACCAGTGCTCTACCTCCTCCTGGTTCATGACTGGTGTGAGGTGAAACTGCTTCAAGTACTTGGTGAGCAACTGGTGCACTACTGGAATGTCCTTTTTCTCCATTGGTCGCAGCCCAGCTGTCTTGGGAGTCTGGAAGGAAGACAGAAAAGATGGCATCAGAAGTGGCCATCACCCTAGACCTACTCTCAATGGCCCTCAAGAGACAAATCCTGGTCATCCTCAGCATGTGTCATGCCTAGCACTCTGAGTACCTGGACTTGGAAATCAGTTGGCCCTTTCCCTCCTTGGCATGGCTGCTACTGGGGCTGAGACTATGGCAACCAGCTCCTAAGTGGCCCCAGGCTCTCCTGCCCTCCCTTGTTCACTCTCCACAAGGCACAAGACCTTCTACTCTATGGACCAGTTGGCCATTTAGGTGCTGGAGGAATTCAGTGGAAGGACATGCTCCTATAGAGCAAATACTAGAACAGACTATTTCCAGAGGCTCAGCACACACAAGTAGGGTTGGTCCAAACTGAAAACAGCAGAGACACAGGTGATAAGGCCTGTCACTGCCTGATATAGCCAGAGCAGGGAATCCCTTTAAAAGTTCATACTGGGGCTGGGGAGATAGTTCAGTGGGCAAAAGAACTTGCTATGTAAGCATGAGGACCCGAGTTTGAATCCACAGAACCCATGTAAAAGCTGGATACAGTGCTACAAGCATCTGCAGCCCCGGTGTTCTTGTGGGGAAACAGGAGGCAGGCAGCAGAGCCTCAGAAGCATGGGCCAGCAAGCCTGGAGCATGCAGAGAAAAACTATAGACACCATCTCAAAACTCCCTTACTAATCTTTTCTTTTCTTTCTTTTTTTTTTGTCTTTTTGAAGCAGGGTCTCCCTGTAGCCCCAGCTGTCCTGGAACTCACTATGTAGACCAGGCTGGCCTTGAACTCAGAGATCCGCCTGCCTCTGCCTCCCAAGTGCTGGGACTACAGGCGTGTGCCACCATGCCCAGCTCTAATCTTTTCTTTTTTAAGATTTACTTTTTAGCCGGGCTTGGTGGCGCATGCCTGTAGTCCCAGCACTTGGGAGGCAGAGGCAGGCGGATCTGTGAGTTCAAGGCCAGCCTGGTCTACATGAGTTCCAGGACAGCTGGGGCTACAGGGATACCCTGTCTCAAAAAAAAACAAAAAAAAAAATTTACTTAAAAAAAATTTTATGTGTATGAGTGTTTGCCTGTACATACGTATGTGCACCACATGCCTGCCCCATGCCTGCAAGGCCAGAAAAGAGCATCAGATGCCTTGGAACTGGAGTAATAGATGGTTGTAAGCTGCGATTTGGGTGGGTGGTGGGAACTGAACCTGGGTCCTCTGCAAGAGCAACAAGTATACTGAGCTATGTCTCCAACCCTGACTTCCTTACTAATCTGGATCTCTCTAGACAATGCTTACTGACTTCATTCAATATGGCAATCCCCATAGTAATTTCTCAAACCCTGAAGATACCCACACTGGGTTCTTGCCCAAACACAGAGAGATGTCTCTTGGCTGTTGGAGTACTTTAGTATGACTCTCTACCTTCATGGAATACAGGGTACAGCAGCTATGATGACACAGGAGAGAAGACATTTGCTAGACCCCCCAATTTATTTTCTTGAGACAGGCCTCAGGTAGCCCAGGCTGGCCTCAAACACACTATGTAGCCCAGGCTAGCCTTAAACTCCTGTTCTTCCTGCTTCCAAGTGTTGGGATAACAGGTGTGAGATACCATGCCCAACTTTCCAAATCTGTTTCAGCAGTATCTTGCCATTCTGCAGCAATCTCAAGAAGAGACAAGAACGACCCTACCCCAGTATTAGGTGTTTTAGACCCATACCAGGGTGACTAATCCCATGTGGAGGTCAACTAATTCAAGTGAGCAGCCCTCTGAGCAACAGGCACTTGGTCACCGTGTGGCCTGACAGCCAGAGAAGGGATTTAAAGAGTCCCTAGCTCAGGATCCTGAAGTAGGCACTCTGGAGAACAGTAGCACTTATCTCTTTAGGAAACCAGGCAGATTGAGAGCTACACTGAACGTCTGATTGTTCCATGCCACCCAGTCCCTCAATGTCAATCTGGGTGTAGAGAGGGATTAGAAACCTGGCTTCCCTCACAAGCTCTGGCTATCTTTCTCTTGGCAGAAGGGAGCTGGAGCCTTTCATACTTGTCTCTGGAGTATGTGCGATAAAGAAGACAGCTCAGTAAATAAATCCAGCCTTCTATCTATGATTCACTTGTGCTAAAATTACAGAATAGGTGTTTTCTGAGTCTGTTGACAGATGGCAAGAAATCCAATCCAGGAATAGACTCAGGAGAACCAAGAATATGAAACAAAAATGAACCCTTGTAGACAGCAAGACACAAGAACCTAGACTATGGGCTGGTAAGCAAGTCCTCCCCCCACAGTCCTGCTCCTTTCCTGCCAAGGCCAGGCTTTCTGGAGCCTCTGTACCCCTGCCCGCCACCACAGAGCACCACTGGCCTCTGGCAGTCGATAGAGCTTCATGGTGCGTTGCATGGTCATATTTCTGCTCAGGTGGGAGAACTTCACTTCAATCAGCTTCCTCGGGTTTAGGGACCGATGCCAGTACCTGTAGGGACACAAATGTCCTGTCCTCAGTGGACTCTGGCTATTCATTAAGAGGACAATGTCAAGGTGACCTCCAGATGGCCAGCAGGTGGCATGAGAGACACATTAAGCCCCTCTTTGGGGGAGGAACAGACTCCACCTTCCTCTAGTGTGTGCAGGAGCTACCATGGGTCTATCTCGAATTTTTTCTCCCTGCTTTTCCTTTTCTATTTCAAAAGCCATTCCTTTGCTACAGAAGGTGTCTGGGGAGCACAATCCTCTCTCCTGGAATCAGGTGAGAGGGAAGACTGTCAACAGCACCGAGACACCTGGCAGACGTGCACCCTCCTCCTTCCTCTCCTGTACTCACCTGGAGTTTTGTTTTTCAGTTCTCTAGGCAGAGATTATTCAATTGTTTCAAAACAACTTTCTAAGGCAAAGATTTTCCTTAGATCACACAGGGATCAGACAAGCCCCCTTTGATCCACACAATAATCATAATAAAAGCCGAGTCAAATACTTAAAGACATTATCTATAAAAACCCAGGTTTGGCCTCACTCTTAAAAAGAAAACTCCCATCTCTAAATGATGGTAATCAGGAGTTGAGAATGGCTACTCTTTTTTCTAGTCTGCCTGCACCATACCCTCCTCCTCAGTTCTAAAAGCTTTCCACCTTGGCTCCTGCAGCCCCAGCCACCTCTACCCTCCTGAGAATGCACAGAGCAGAGGGGCAGTGCTATGTCTCAGTGACATCACTCCTCAGCTAGAGCAGGGCACCTGCATTCCCAAAACCTGCAGGAAGAAAGTTTTACCTGCAGGTGCCAACAGGCTTTGGCAATACCACCCCGGCAGTATAAACAGCTTGGAAAATGCCCTCCAAGTGGACCCGCCGAGTTATCTCTCTGATCAGGACTGGAGCCACCCTCTTGGAGCGTAGCTTCTTATGGACACACAGGAAGTTGATCTCCACCATTTTCTTCTCTCTGAAGAGGGAGCAAAAATGCTGAGTGACAAAGCTTTTTCCATAGAAAGTAATAGTAATCTCTTTAAGTAGCAGAGCTGCACCTGGAGGAGGGGCATTCAGCACAGGTGTGTGTTTGCTGCCACCCACACTAGCAGTCAGTGCTGGGGATCCCGCCCACTGCTGTACCAGGTTTTACCAGGCAAGCTTGCCTCACTTCCTCTACTTCAAAAGGGAAGTGGGAAGTCTGCAAATTCCAACATCTCCTGGTGGGACCCTGAAGTATGAGCTGGGGAGTCCCACCTGCAACATGCAGGGAAGCAGCGCAGGAAACTCTAGGGTAAGTCAAGGCGATTCTAGGATCGAGACACAGTTGACTTTGAACTCTATAGGAAACTCAGGCTAGCTTTGAACTCTTAATTTTTTTTTCTACCTCCTGAGCACTAAGATTAAAGATGTGTACCACCACACTTGGCCCTCTAGTCTAGGGTTTTTTTGTTTTTTTGGTCCTTTTGAGACAAGGTCTCCCTGTAGCCCCAGCTGCCCTGGAACTCATTATGTAGACCAGGCTGGCCTTGAACTCACAGAGATCCGCCTGCCTCTGCCTCCCGAGTGCTGGGACTAAAGGCATATGCCACCATGCCCAGCTTCTAGGATTTTTTTTTAAGAGTTATTTTATTTTTATGTGTGTGTGTGTTTGAGTGTGTGTATATGCTGTGGGGCAGGGAGGGGTGCTCAGAAGCTAGAACTGGGAGTTGGATCTCCTGGAGCAGGAATTATAAGTGGCCGTAAGCCATCTGATGTGGATGCTTGGAAATGAACTTGGGTCCTCTGCAAGAGCAGCAAACATCTATAACCACTGAGCCATCTCTCCAGCCCTTTTATAGAATTTTGATTCCCACAAGAATCCATAGCCTATAAGCCCAGAAGACTGTGGCAGATGATTGTGAGACCATCGGAATCTGGATCACTCTGGCTCCTGTCTATTTCTGAAGCTATTCAAGTGTATCACCATGTGACTGGGTCAGGAATGCAGACGAGGATGGATGGATCCTTCCCACCCTAGTCATAGACATGGTTGCCATCTACATACAACTCAGCAAAACGTGGCTCCTGTGATGAGTTTCTATTGCCAGTACTTGGTTACCTCCACTTCATGGGGCCCTCCATCTTCCTTTCATGGGTGAACATGTAGCTTTCTTCTCCCTCCCAGACCAAGGAAAAGGGTGATGATGGGCCCTGATGCTTACGTGTCATAGATGTGGATGTTTGCTGGGATGGCACTAATGAATCCAACCAGTTTCCGACTTGAGACCACTCGAACCCCACAGTGCCACTGGGGCAGCCAGCCAGGTGGCCGGAGAGCCCTGGAGAAAAGACAAGGGCTGCAGCTGTGGGACTGCTTCCAGCAGGCTAGAGAGCTGTTTGTGCTCCAGAGCCGTGTTTGGTTCTAAGCTGGCACGACCTCTTCCCTGGAGATTAATGGCTACATTCTCTTTAGGACCAAGCTTTCCTAAACACCAACGGAATCAACTCTTAGACATTTCTCACAAACATCTTTTTTCTTTGCAATGCCGGAGACAGACCCCACAGCTTTGCACATACATGTCAGGCAAGCACTTTACCCCTAAGCTACAGCCTCAGTCCTGTTTTTTGAGACAAGGTTCTGCTATGTAACCTATGCCGGCCTCAAATTTGTACTCCTAGTTCTACCTCTTAATTACATCCCTATACCAGGTTCCTTATGTTTTTTTCATGTGAGACAGGATCTCACTAGGTAGCCCTGGCTAGCCTGGAAGTGGTTATATAAACCAGGCTGGCCTCAAACTCAGAGATCCCTGCCTTTGCTTCCCTATGCTGGGATCAAATATGTATGCCACCATAGTGGTCTTTACGTTCATTTCAATAGCCTGAACCAGAGGACTGACCTATTCCATTCAGAGGGCCAGTGGGTCTTTTGGTTAGGAACTGATTATGGCAACCCTGGGCTATCTCTCCTCTTTCTGCTTTTCCCTCCCCTTTCAGGAAATCCCTCCCTACTTCAGTATCATGCTTCTGTCTTCTAGGATGTTAAACTGTAGTCCAAGCAGGTGGATGGTTCAGCCAGGATAAGCTATTTTCTACAACTGAGCATGCTCAGAAACTAGAGAGTCAAGAACTCTGTTAAAATCTTAGTAGGTTTTAGGGGCTAGAGAGATGGCTCAGTGGTTAAGAGCACTGGCTGTTCTTGCAGAAGACCCAGGTTTGAATTCCTGCACCCACATGTGAGAACTAGCAGAGATCTTGGAGGTGGACACTACACCATTACCACATACTAAACCTGCCGGTGTCTTGGATTTTTCCAGCTTCCAAAACCAAGAGAAATTTTTCTTGTAATTACTGTTTACAAGTTAAATAAAATGATAATAAAAGATATTCCTTACAACTTACCACAAAAGAAACTCTGGGGAATAATCAAATCGGAACATGTTGTCATCATCTTCAACATAGTTCTCATTCAGGAGAGTGTACAGTTCTTTCAGCTGTAGAGAAATAAGGAGCTCACTGGGGTATTTTGCCAAGTGGGGACCAACCTCAACATCTTGTGACTCCAGGCTTTAAAGAAGGACAAGACAAACTACAAAACCACCTCTAACCTCACAAATCTGTTTTGTTCAAGGCATGGCACCCTTAGTTGTAATGAGAAACTGAAACACTAGGGGTGAAGCCATAGACTTTAGAACACAAAGTGGCAGTCCTAGCACGTCATCTAACTAATGGTTCCAGTGTTCTGATCATCAATGGGGAGACACTGGTTTCTACTTCAGTAAACATACATTGGAGACACGATTCTTGGGCCTGGTCAATGAATTACTCCTAGGGCAGTCACTGTTACTTGTTTATTTGTTGTTTGTTTTTGAGACAGGGTCTCCCTGTAGCCCCCACTGGCCTGGAATGTAGACCAGGCTGGCCTCAAACTCACAGAGATTCACCTGCCTCTCCCTCCCGAGTGCTGAGACTAAAGGTGTGCATCACCATGCACAGCTCAATGGTTTTTTTTTGTTGTTGTTTTGTTTTTTTAAAAAACCATACTTGTGTTATCATCATGCCCCAAAGAGTATTAGCTTTTTTCTTCCTTCTTAGCTGTTTCCACTGGCTGACCCAAGTTTGCTATTTAAAAATCCTGCCATCTTGAAAAACGGGTCAGCAGTTAAAGAGTACTGGCTGTTCTTGCTGAAGACCCAGGTTTGGTCCCCAGCACCCACATGGCCACTAAAAACTGTCTGTAATGCCACTTCTAGGAGATCAAATGCCCTCTTCTGGTCTACGCAGGCATTGCATGCACAGGTGCATTTACATACATGCAGGCAAAACATTCATACACACAAAATAAAATTTAGAAGCTGGGTGTGGTGGCACCGACCTTTAGTCCCAGTGCTCAGGAGGCAGAGGCAGGCTGATCACTGTGAGTTCAAGGCCAGCCTGGTCTATCTAGTGAGTTCCAGGCTAGCTGGGGCTACAGGGAGACACTCTCTCAAAAAAGACCAAAAAATAAAAAAATGTAAAAATTAAAAATAAATAAATAAATAAATAAATTTAGAAGCTGGAAAGATGACTCAAGGGTTAAGAACACTGGCTGCTCTTCTGGAGGACCTGGGTTCAAATGTCAGCACCCACATGGGGGCTAACCACCATCCGTAACTCCAATTCCAGAGGATCTGACGCCCTCTTCTGTCCTCAGCAAGCACTGCACGACACAGGTACACTTACATACATGGAGGAATAACACTCACACACATAAAATAAATAAATAAATAAACTTAGATAGCTCAGGGGTTAAGCACACCACCACAAGGTGCACTTACATACATGCAGGCAATACATTCATACACATAAAATAAAAACAATAAATAAAAAAATATAAAAAAAATACTGTTCAGAGATGGCTTATCAGTTAAGAGCACACACTACTTTTGCAGAAGACCCAAGTTGGGTTTCCAACACCCATGTCAGGAGACTCACAACTGCATGTAACTCCAGCTCTAAGGGGTTCTGACACCTCTGGCCTTGTGGGGCACCTGCACTCAGGTGCACATACCCCCCACATACATGCACATATACACATAATTAAAAATAATTAAAATAATAGATTTTTTAAAAAGTCCTGTGGAACGACATCAGGGTTATGGCTCACTGGGTAGAAACATTTGAAGTGCAAACCTATTGACCTGAGTTAGAGCTTCAGAATCCAGGTTAAAGCTTTCAAAGTTTTCCTCTGACCTCTATACAACATGCTGTGGCACACATGCACCTGCTCTCTCTTACACTCACTCTCTCTGTCACTCATACACACATATATACACATACAGAATAATAAAAGCTAAAAAAAATTAAAAACAGGGGCTGGAGAGATGGCTCAGTGGTTAAGAACACTGGTTGTTCTTGCAGAAGACCCAGGTTCGAATCCCAGCACCCACATGGCCACTAACAACTGTCCATTAACTCCAGTCCCAGGGGATCTGACAGCCTCTTCTGACCTCTTCAGGCACTGCATGACAGGGTGCACTTACCTACATGCAGGCGATGCACACATGCACATAAAATAAAAAATAATAAATTAAAAACAAAATTCTGTTCACAAACTAGGTGTGGCTGAGATGCTGATAGTTCTTGGGGGTTTGAGCCCAGAGGATCACTAAAGCCCAGAGATGGAGGCTCTTAAAAGTTAAAAAGAAAAATTCTTTGCACATCTTCATCATTCCTTATAGAGGAAACAAATTCCTAAATCCCTGATGTCAGAATAAGAGGGTAACCAGTGTGTTAGTGCAAGCTTGCAATCTCAGCACTCAGGAACCTTGAGGCAAGAGGTTTGCTTTGGGCAGGGCATAGTGGCGCATGCATTTAATCCCAGGAGGCAGAGGCATAAAGATTTCTGTAAATTCAAGGCTAGCCTGGTCTACATAGGGAGTTCTTGGACAGCCAGGACTACATAGTAAGACTGAACCTCAAAAAACAAGAAGTAAAAAAAAAAAAAAAAAAGAGGTTTGCCTGAAGTTCAAGGCTGGCCAGGGCGATATAGCAAGAAGACTATCTCAAAACCAAAATCAAAGAAAGGGGGAGGGGGAGCAAGTCAACAGCTAGAGTTCCCATCTAATATGCACAAAGCTAGATTCAATCCCTAGCACTGCATAAAAAAGACGTGCACACCTATAATACTGGCCCTTGAGACACTGTCTGAAAAAACATAAGCATATGTGCATGCATACACATGTTTGCCTGCACCCCCTCCACAAAAAAGAGGCGGCTAGCTAAGGATGCAAACAGCAGTAGAGTATTTGCACAACACTCTAGGTTTAATCCCCAACATACAAAAAAGAAAAAGAAGAGGCACTGGTGGCTACAGTGGAAAGGAAAGGGGGGAAGAAGACACCCTCCCCCTACTTAGCAGTCCAGGTCATGAGTCAAGAAACAGGTAAGAGCTCAATGGTTAAGAGCACCTGTTGCTCTTCCAGAGGACCTGAATTCACTCTCTCTCTCTCTCTCTCTCTCTCTCTCTCTCACTCTCACACACACACACACACACACACACACACACACACACACACACACACACACACACACACACACACCCAGGCCCATAACCTTTTATAACTCCAGTTCCAGGGGATCCAGCACCCTTTTCTGACCTCCACAGGTACCAGGCATGAATGCATACATGCAGGAAAAACAGTCATATACTTAAAATACAAATGGTTTAAATCTTTAAAAAAAGAAAGAAACAGACAAGAAATAAAGAGGCCAGACATGATAGATTACCCTACAATGGTAGCACTTGGGAAGCCACAGCAGGAGGCAAGTCAAGAATTTGAGGCCAGCCTAGGGCACATTGCAAGATAATGCCTCAAAAAACTAAAAAAAAAGGACTAGCAAGATGGCCTTGTAAGCCTGACAATCTGACTTTGATCCCAGGAACCCACATAAAGGTAGAAGAACCAACTCCACAAAGTAGTCCTCTGACACATACATACACCACACAGCATGCACATGCCCATGCAGACATGCAAACATAATAATAAAGAAAAAACATGGGCATGGCGGCACACGCCTTTAATCCCAGGGAGGTAGAGGTAGGCCGATCTTGGAGTTTCAGGCCAGCCTGGTCTACATAGTGAGTTCCGGGTAAGTTGGGGCTACAGGGAGACCCCGTTCCAAAGAATACAAATTGAAAAAAAGACGAGAATGACAAGGGAATGAACGAACAACAAAAGAACAACAAAAAAAAAATCCACACTGGAGAACTTCAGAAGGTAATGCTCAACCTCCCAAGTACTGAGATGCCAACTGCTATTTCTGTGGAATGTGGGACATGCCCCAGGAAGCATCAGATGGGGTCTGTTCTGCCCTCCTTGGCCTAGCTCCTACTGGAGAAGGGCTTATGAAAACACTGCCCACCTTCAGGCCCCAGGCCCACTCACCACACCACGGTCCCCCAGGTCCAAGGCATCCCAGGTGAAGCCTTGGGGTAGGGTATAGGGTTCTTGGCGAATGTTGTCCTTGTCAGGTTCCACTGGACCATGGGTGTTTACCACCTCACCTGGAAGAAGAGCATAGCCATGAGCCTCACCCCCTGCCTATGGGTGAGAGGGAGCTCACTGAAAATATTTACTAGAGGGTTAGAGTGTGGCTCAGTGGTAGAGTGGTTGCCAAGCAATCACAAAGGCCTGGGTTTGATTCCCAGCACCATGTAACCTACACATAATGACATATACCTATAATCCCAGCGCTTATGAATTAGAAGCACAAGGACCAGATGTTTAAGGCCATCTTTGGCTACACAGAGAGTTTGAGGACAGCCTGGGCACACGCCTTTAATCCCAGCACTTGGGAGGCAGAGGTAGGCGGATCTCTGTGAGTTCGAGGCCAGCCTGGTCTCCAGGACAGCTAGGGCTATAGGGAGACCCTAAAAAAAAAAAAAAAAAAAAAAAAAAAAAAAAAAAAATACCAGAGCAAATTTTCCTCTCCCTAGGAGCCCTGTAACTGAAGAACACTCTGTGCTTGGCAACTTTAAACCATCTCTCCAGTCACTCTTGATCCCTAATTGAAGGCCAGTGCATAGCAAAACTTCAAAATAATCTGTGATCCAAGGTGGCTCAGTTTTGGAAAATTTTTAACTCTCCCTTGGGTTCATGAATGGCAAATATTTTGTCATTACTAATTTGGTTTCCTGCCTCCTGTCTAGTGTACAGTGTTGTCATGCTCAAGCCCAGGTACCCTCCTCCCACTTGAGGGGACTTGTTAGAGTCACAGCAAGGCTGCCTTTATGTCAACAACAATGCACTGTGCTCACTCCTCAATCAGATGATGGCTCCGAGAAGCTCTCTTGGCCTCATAGCCGAAGCTTCCAGCACCACGGGCCAGCTAACTGCTGCCAGTGCAGAGCCTCAATGCTCAGTACCCCACAAATGCCTTTAGGCTGAATCACTCAGAGTGCACAGCACTGCCGGGAAGCTTCCACTGACACAAGTTTCCTCTGTTGGGAGTTCGGGGAGGCTGAGCTGAAGGGGAGGAACTGAAACCAGATGAAGGCAGAGAGGAAAGCCAGGCAGTCATAGAAGGCCAATTCTTAATAAGCTTTGCTTTGTTTTGTTCATTTTTTTCTTTTCTTTAAAAAAAAAAGATTTATTTTATGTATATGAGTGTTTTGCCTGCATATATGGCACTGAATCACCAGGTGATTCAGCCTAAAGGCACTTGTATGTACACCATGCGCATGCCTGGTGCCTTGAAGCCAAACGCAGGCATCAGATTCCTTGAACTGGGGTTATAGCTGGTTATTAGCCCCTACATGGGTGCTGGGAAGATAACCTGGAATCTCTGCAAGAGCAACAAGTGCTCTTAACCACTAAGCTGTCTCTCTAGCCCCTTGTTTATTTTTTTTTAGGGTCTTGCTAAGTAACCTAGGCTGGCCTATACTCATGGCAATCCTCTTGCCTTACCCTCTCAAATGCTGGGACTATAGGTATACCCAGCACACCCAGCTCTCCAAGTACTTTCAAAGCAAGTTGCAGGTGTCCAGTCATTTCTGTTTGGTGGCCTAGACGTAACAGGTTGCATCGCTGTTATGAGTTGCAGAACAGCCTTCTTATGCCCAATCTGTAGGAGCCCAAAAAAAGCCACCATAGGAGGGGAGGCCATGTGCCTCAGCAGGACATGGTGAGGCTGAGGCAAAAAAAAAAAAAAAAAAAAAGAGTAAAAGTTGAAAATAAAAGAGATTTTGTTCCCCTCAACAAGACCAGGAAAGGGGGTAACTAGAAAGATGACATGATCTAATAAGGGAGACAATCAGGGTATACACCAACTGTTATACAGACCCAAGCTTCTTAAAACTGGGTTGAAACTGGGGGTAGTGACACACGCCTTTAATCCCAGCACTTAGGAGGCCGAGGTAGGTGAGGCAGGCAGATCTCTGGGAGATCCGGCCAATGTGATCTACACATAGGGAGTTCCAGGCCAGCTGCAGCTACAGGGAGACCATCTCAAAAAGACCAAAAAAAACCCAAAAAAACCTACTCTTATATCATGAATTACCATACCTATGAAGTTTTCTGCTCTTATAGAAAAATAAAGTTTTAATTAAAGAATAAGAAATATTTTCCTGTTATTCTTCAGTATGTAAGTATCAAATTAGCATATCTTTGGATTATATCATGTTAGAATGCTTAATTTTAAAAGTTGCTGGCTGGGCTGGAGAGATGGCTCAGCAGTTAAGAGTGTATGCTGCTCTTCAAGAGGACCCAAATTCACTTTTGAGCATCTATATCCCACTGGTGGCTCATGACCACCTATAACTCCAGTTTCAGGGGATATGACACCTTCTTGTGACTTCAGTGTACCCAAACACGCAGCATATATATATACACACACACACATACAAATAAACATACATTTTTGAAATATATATTTTAAAAATTACTTTTTTTTTTGGTCTTTTTGAGACAGGGTCCCCCTGTAGCCCCAGCTGTCCTGGAACTCACTATGTAGACCAGGCTGGCCTTGAACTCACAGAGATCCACCTGCCTCTACCTCCCGAGTGCTGGGATTAAAGGCATGTGTGAAATAAATCTTTTAATAGGTAGCTGCACCTGTGTTGTGCAGTACCTGCAGAGGTCAGAAGAGGGCGTTGGATTCCCTGGAACTGAAGTTAGGGATGGTTGTTAGCCATCATGTGGGTGATGGGAATCAAACCTAGGTCCTCTGTAAGAGCAGCTAGTGCCCTTAACTGCTGAGCCATCACTCCAGCTCTGTTTTACATTTTTAATTTTTATTTATTTATTTTTGTTTATGTGTGTGAGTATATTGTCTGCATATATGTAAGTGCACCCATGTCATGCAGTGCTTGAGGAGGTCAGAAGAGAGCGTCAGTTCCCATGGAACTGGAGTTACAGATGGTTGTTAGCTACCATGTGAGTGCTGGGATTCAAACCTTGGTCCTCTGTAAGAGTAGCCAGTACTCTTAGCCACTGAGCCATCTCTCTAGCTCCATGTTTTACATTTTTTAAGATATTTACTTTTATTTTCATGTATATGTGTTCATCTGTCGCCTGTTTGTAAGTATGTGTACCATGTGCATGTCTGATGTCTCAGGAGGCCAGGGACATTTGATCTCCTTGGAGCTGGAGTCACAGGCAGTTCTGAGCCACACAACATGGGTGCTAGGAACCAAATTCAAGGCCTGTGCATAGGAAGCACCTGCTCTTTACTGCTGAGCCATCTCTCCAGCCCCTTGTCTTACTTTTTTAAATTATCCTGTGTGTGTGTGTGTGTGTGTGTGTGTGTGTGTGTGTGTGTATGTGCATAAGCAAGTAGAGTCAGAGTACAACTTGTGGGAGTCAATTCTCTCCTTCCACCATTTGGTCTGGAGTATTACACTCAGGTTGTCAGGCATGGCAGCAAGTGCCTTTATCTGCTGAGCCACCTCACTGGTCCAAAAATCATTAAATCAATTTTGGTTTGGGATTAGGACAATATTTCACAATCTGTAAAGTGGCCCTAAACATACTTGTGTTATGTATATATGTGAAGCAGCAATCTCAGTATTAATTATTACAAAATTCAAAATATAGATGAACTTTAAAAACTGTTGAAAATGTTCTATGTCCTTTTTTACTCAGGAGTTAATTCCTTTTTAATTTTTTTTTTGGGGGGGGGGTTGTTTTGAGAGAGGGTCTCACTATGCAGCCTGGCTGGCCTGGAACTCACAGAGATTTACCTGCCTCTGAATCCAGAGGGTTGGGATTAAAGGTGTGTGTTATCATACCCATACCTGGTACAGGATTTAATTATTTTTTAAAAGATTTTATTCATTTTATTTTATTTATTTATTTTTTTTATTTTATTTATTAAGTGTTTTGCCTGTGTAAAACCCAAGGAGGCCAGAGAGGACGTCAGATCCTTTGGAACTAGAGTTACAGATGGTTGTGAGCTGCAAGAGTAGCCAGTGTTCTTAACCCCTGAGCCATTTCTCCAACCTCAGGATTTAATTCTTTATGTTAAGAATAAACAATCACAGGTCTCAAGAGTCAGTTCAGCAGTCAAGAGCACTGGCTGGTCTTGCAGAAGATCCAGGTTCAATTCCCAGCATAACAATGGTCCATAGCTCCAGTTCTAGGGGAAACTGATGCCCTCTCCTGACCTCTGTGGGCATTGCAGGACATGGGAGCACTTCCATACATGCAGGCAATACATGCAAGTTATACACATAACATAAAAATAATAGATAAAATATTTGGAAAAAAACAGTAATCCATTTTATTAGTATGCAAACTGCCTTTTTTTTTTTTTTTTCCTTCTTTTGAGATAGGGTCTCACTATGCAGCCTGAGTTTCTCTATGAAGACCAGGATGGGCCTTGAACTCACAGAGATTTGCCTACCTCTGTCTTCTGAGTGCTGGGATTAAAATCATGAGCAAACACCGGGGCGTGGTGGCACACACCTGTAGTCCCAGCACTTGGGAGGCAAAGGCAGGCGGATCTCTGTGAGTTCAAGGCCTGCCAGGTCTACATAGTGAGTTCTGCCTGCCTCTGCCTCCCAAGCACTGGAATTAAAGGCATGCACTACCACGCCTGGTGAGCTTAGAGTGATTTTTAAACCCATAATTTTGGGTCCCTTTAGTGGAACAAAGTTTAAGATTAAATCTCTAAAGGTAAGGGGTGTATAAACATAGTATACTTTGTTTTTTGGGAGACAAGGTCTTGCTAAATTATCCAGACAGCTTTGAATTTGTTCTGGGGCTCAGGATAACGTTCAATTTGTGATCTTCCTGTCTCTGCCTCCCAAGCAGCAGGAATAACAGACCTATCTGCCAAGCCCAACTCAACAGCGTATACTTAATAGGCATGAACTTTACTGTCATTAGTTCCAGGCAGCTGGGGCTGAAAAAGACCAAAAAACCCCCCCAAAAAACAAAAAAACTACGCCAACACAGCAACCACCACAAAATGAGTATTAGGGAGTTCACTAGAGATAGACTGAGAGGCTCTCCACACACTTTCAGCTCCTTTTCAGGGTTAGTGGGAACCCACCCTAGTAACAGCAGTACTGTGTGAACCAACACCAGCCCCAATAGTTGAAGATGAGGGAAGCAGTCAGACTGGTGCTTCTGGAATCTGTGCACTCATCGCCTCATTGTCAAACAATCCCACCACCCCCCCACTCCCGTGCTCATATCTCCTCAGATGGCTTCTGGGTAATGGCCAGCCTGACAACTAAATCTGTTCCCAAGCAGCTTCACAAGCATAGATGTAAGTTCTCTGCAAGTTCTTGTTCTGTAGGTCTGGGGTGGGACCTGAATTTCTATGAGCTCTGAGGTCATTCCCAACCTACATACCCTACATAGGCAGGACTCTACTTAAGTATAACAGTCCCCAACTTATGATGGTTCACTTTAGGATTTTATAAGTTTATCATCTTGCAGAATCAACACACAGTCAACAAAAATTGTACTTCCAATTTTAATTTTGCTGTTGCTGAGACAGGGTCTCCCTGTAGGCCCAGCTGGCCCTGGAAATCGCTACGTAGACCAGGCTGGCTTCAATTTCACAGCGGTCCACCTGCTTTCTCCATCCAGATACAGCATACTTTAAATTGAGAAATACCTATATGTCTGCTCCAAACCTCTGCAGACAAATCTTGAGCACAGCTGCCTTTGTCACCTCCTTGTAGTCGATCTGGCTCTGCCTACAACCTACAATGTATTGCCAAGTCTTACCATGTTTCTGGAGAGAAGTGACACTGAAAACCTGATCATCACTTACATTTGGTGCTAGAGTATGTTTTGTTTTGTTCTAAGACAAAAAAAAAGGATGCCAGGTATGGCAGGAGCCTTTAATCCCAGGCTTCGGGAGGCAGATGCAGATAGATCGCTGTAAGACTGAGGCCAGCCTGGTCTACATAGTAACTTCCAGGTGGGCTGGTACTAGAGACTAGAGAGACCCTGTCTTTAAAAAAGGGGGAGGAGGGTTGGAGAGATGGCTCAGCAGTTAAGAGCACTGGCACCCACATGGCAGCTGACAACCCTCCATAATGCCAGTTCCAGGGGGATCTGATGCCTCTTCTGACTTCTGCAGGCATTGCACACATGGATGCACTTACGTGCATGCAGGCAAAACACCCATATACAAAAAATTAAAAATAAATTAAGAAAAAAATTTACCTCCTCATTCATATACGTACAGATCAGGAATTGGGCCAGTGGGTCCAGAAACATGACCCAATCGTTCATGAAACTTTTTGTCAACCATAACCTCTGAAGTTAGCCACTGAGGCCAGCTGTAGCTCACACCCTGCTAGATATCTGGAACTTCAGTACACCCAGTCCCTTCTGGAATCCTTTCTGTCTATCAAATTTCTTCAGAAGTTAATTATAGATTTTTAAAGGGATCATGATTGAAATCCATAGTTAGATAGACAGACAGTCAGACAGGCAGACAAACAGACAGAAAGACAGATAGGTAGTATTCCAGGAGTTGAACCATGACTGTCACTTCAAATTTAGTAAGCATGTGTTAGCTGAGAGAAGTGGGGAGGGGGCTGGGGACTCCTCTCATTTCTGATTACACATTTGTCCAGAAAAATAGTCTTTCACAAATCTAAATACAAAGATAGACCCACGGCAGATGTCCCCACTCATCATGTACCACAGTCCTGTTTTTCTCTGTAGATCTATACTAGATGAAGATGGACTAAAGAATCATCATTTGTTCTCGGCGTGTGCCACTGTGGAACGATAAGGTCTCTGAACAAGTCTTTGCAATACTCCTTTTTAAAGTCTATTCTCAAAGAATAATGACCAAGAATTCTAGGGCCTTACAGCCCTCCCTTACAAAACTCCCACAAAAGCACAGCAAAGGGACATTCCTTGCTCTCACTTAGGAAACAAAGAAAACACATACCCAATTTGGGGACTGGCTGTGTGTCCCAGAACTGGTAGCTTCGCTTGCTGGCCTCCTCCATGGTTTTGGCAGGTCCCTGACCCACTGAGAACAGCTCAATGGCCTTCTGTATTTCCTGGATCCTCTCTGCTGGCAAAGAGTTCATCTGGGCAGGACAAAATTGGAGAAAGAAAAGGCCCATTGTGTTAGTGAGACTTTTGATTCATTACGAATCCAAGAGTTTTCTAGGTGTAGTAATATACATCTGTAATCCTAGCACACAGGAGGTAGAGGCAGAAGGATGAGGAGTTCAAGGCCAACCTCAGCAACATGAGATCCTGTACCAAGAAACCAAGAGAAAGCTGGGCATGGTGATGCATGCCTTTAGTCCTAGCACTCAGGAGGCAGAGGCAGAGCAGGTGGATCTCTGTGAGTTTGAGGCCAGCTTGGTCTCCATAATCAGTTCTAGGTCATCCAGGGCTACATAATGAGATCATGTCTCAAAAACCAAACCAAGTGTTCAGGGCTAGAGCGAGAGCTAAGTTGGTAAAGTGCTTGCCACTTAGGTATAAGGACCTGAGCTTGATCTTTAACATGATGGTGTATGACTGTAATCTCAGTGCTGAAGTGGACAACAGTGCTCTTGCAGAAGACCCAGGTTTGGTTGCCAGCACCCACATGGCACCTAACAGTCCATGACCCCACTTCCAGGGGATCTAATGCACTCTTCTGGCCTCCTCAGGCACTGCAGGTACATGGTGCATGTATACACCTGCAGGCAAAACATTTATATACATAAAATAAAAATAAAATTTTTTTTTTTTTGTTCTTTTTGAGACAGGGTCTTCCTGTAGCCCCAGCTGTCCTGGAACTCACTATGGAGATCAGGCTGGCCTTGAACTCTGCCTCCCGAGTGCTGGGATTAAAGGCGTACGTCACCATGCCTAGCTACAAAATATTTTTTTAAAGGTGGCAATTGATTAAGGAAGACACCTGACATTGACATCTGGCTTCCACACTCATATATCTACATAGCACATGCATACACACACACACACACACACACAAACCCAAGAGTTCTAGAGTTGAAGGGTACAACTCAAAGAAAGTGAGTGGTTCTTCAATACTAATCCCAGAAGCTATATGTTATATAAGAACTAGACAAGAGTAGCGACAGTTAGTTAGTGGGTGTTGCCTATGGGGTTTTGTTGTTTTATTTTTGTTCTTTTGAGAGAGGGTCTTGCTGTAACCGTAGCTGGCCTATAACCCACTATGTAGAGCAGACTTGCCTCGAGCTTGATCCTCTTGTCTCTGCTGGGATTATCGGAGTACACCACCACACTCAGATCTATCTATAGTATGGTTCCCTATCTCATGTTGTTTGATGCCAACCAAAAGTGACAAAGCTGAGTGTAAATGTTAAACAATGCAGAATGTGGAAGGCACAAAAACAAAACCCTATAGCTGGGTATAGTGGTACAAGCCTGTAATTTCAGGAATTAGGAGGTTGAGACAAGAGAATCAGGACTTCAAGTATAGCCTCTGCTGTACAGAAAGTTAAAGGCCAGCCTGGGTAACATGAGACCCTGACTGAAAAAATAAAATAAATAAATAAAAACTCAACACCCCATTACCTCAGATACATAAAACATTCATACACAGTTTCCTTTAAAAACTTTTAAAAAAATAAATGAGAGGCTTGAGCCGGCCGTGGTGGCACATGCTTGTAGTCTCAGCACTTGGGAGGTAGAGGCAGGCAGATCTGAGTTCAAGGCCAGCCTGGTCTACATAGTGAATTCCAGGAAGACCCTGTATCAAAAAGACAAATAAATAAATATGGTAGAAGGAGAGAACCAATTCAAAAGTTGTCCTCTGACTTCTAGATGTGTGCTGTAGAGCGTGTGCCCAGCTCCTCCCATACACACATGCACACACATATGCACTGACATATAGACAGACAGACAGACACACACACACACACACACATACACACACACACACAGTAAAACTGGGGGCTAGATGTATAGTTCAGTGGTAGAGTACTTTTCCCATGTACAAGATACTTGGTTCAAGCTATAGAAGCACAAAATAAAACATAAAACAAAGCAATAAAATAAAATAAAATTTCAATGATTATTATTCTACAAACTGTCCTTTAAAAACTATAGGCCAGCCAGGCGTGGTAGTGCATGCCTTTAATCCCAGCACTCGGGAGGCAGAGGCAGGTGGATCTTTGTGAGTTCAAGGCCAGCCTGGTCTACATAGTGAGTTCCAGGACAGCTGGTGCTACAGGGAGACCCTGTCTCAAAAAGACCAAAAAAATAAACTATAGACCAGATGTGGTGGTGCACACAGCACTCGAGAAGAACAGCCAGTGGGATCTCTGTGAGTTCCAAACCAGCCAGGACTACATAGTGAGACCCTGTCTCAAAAAAACAAAAAGAAAAAACAAAAAAACAAACAAACCAAAAAACCCAAACCAGACAAACAAAAAAACTATGCCTTAGAGGAGGCTTGAGATGTAGTGTTGGATCCCTGGAACTAGAGTTACAAACACTTTTTAGCCACCATGTGGGTGCTGAGAACCAAATTCAGGTCCTCTGCATGAGTAGCCAGTGTTCTTAACTACTGAGCCATATCTCCAGCCTCATGAATTTCCTTTTAAATTTATTTTGTTCATGTGTGTAAGTGTGTGGGCATGCACATGTCTTGGCCTATGTGTGGAAGTCAGAAGATACCTTTTGGGAGTCAGGTCTCTCCTTCCAAACCAGGTAGGCCCCAGGAATCGAATTCAGGTCATAAGACTTAATGGCGAGGAGCCTAAGATACAGAAGGCCAAGAAGCACTGCTCTAGGCAGCAGAGGCTGTCACATCATTTCTCTGTAGCACCTAGCACACATATGCAATATGACCTGCAATTTTCAGGGATACCATGCTTAAGAGTCAGTGTCTAACCTGCCAGGTCTTTCAAGGCACTGTGAACAGTCTCATCACCTGGGTCTAGAGGAGAGAAAGCATTGGGATTTCTTCCATCTTTAAACAATACCAGTGGGGATGATCAATCTAAATTATCTTTCACATTTAACTCAAAATTTATCAGCCATAAGAAAACAGAGCATCCTTGTTACCTTCACAGGCTGATCCTGGGCTGGATCTGTGTCACTGCCTTTCTCTTTCTTCTTTTTTTGTTTCTTTTTCTTCTTTTTGGCTCCAGTATCATTGGCTGGACTCAAGCCACTGTAAGGCAAAGTAAAAGCTGATGCAGGCTTTAAAAAAAAAATCAAATGTCTTAAGCTACACTGACAAAAGGGCTTTCTGTAGAGCAAACCCTCCTTAATCATGCCTGTTGGCTTCAGAAGCAGACTGGAGACCCCAGCTCCCAGAAGGGGCATTTGGAGGGCACCAGCAAGCACAGGGATCCCCACTCCCACCCTCAGTTGCTCAGGAGAAAACACTATTCAAGACAAGTCCTGCTACTTTCAAAGTGCCTTTTCTGTTCATTCATTCATTTACTCATTCATTCATTCATGGAGACAGGGCCTCAAGCAGCTCAGGTTGGCCTCCAAGGATGACCCTGAATATGTGATTCTCTTGCTTCCAAGTCCTGGGTACTGGGATTACAGGTGTTCTACCTACCTGGTTTATGCAGTGCTGGGGATAAAACCCAAAGCTTCCTGGTGCTAGGAAAGCACTAAGAACTGAGCTACATCCCTATCCCTTTTATTTATGAGACAAGATCTTGCTAGGTAGCCTTGGCTAGCCTGGTATTATGTATCCCAGGCCGGCCTTGAACTTATGGCAATCCTCCTCCCTCAGTCTCCTGGGTCCTGGGATAACAGGCACGAGCTACTACATCCCTTTTGGGGACTTGGGATGGAAACCACGTACTTCTTTCTTTTTTTAATATTTTATTTACTATTTTTATTCTATGTCTATTGCCTACCTGTATGTCATGCAATGCCCTCAGAGGACAGAAGAGGGTGTCAGATCCCCTGGAACTGGAGTTATGGACAGCTGTTAGCCACCATGTGTGTGCTGGGATTTGAACCTGGGTCTTCTGCAAGAACAATCATTGCTCTTAACCACTGAGCCATCTCTCCAGCCCCATGTACTTATTTCTTTAGATTGCCAGGCTGACTGCACCAAAGACAATGATAACGCTCAACAGAATATTTGTACTACCACCACCACCACTTCCTTAGGGCCCTGAATTTAAAAGAACGGCCAAAAGGCAGTAGTAACCTTTTTTTGAATCCTTTGTCCTTATTCACCAAGTGTATTTGGTTTACTGAGTCTTCCCCAACTAAACTTAAAGCACAAGACAGTATGGTAAAGAGAGAAAAGGAGAGATGCTCAGGGGTTAAGAGCACTGAGTGCTCTTGCAGAGGACCCACATGGCAGCTAACAATAGTCTGTAACTCCAGTTCCAAGAAATCTGACATCTTCTTCTTTCTTCTTCCACAGGGATTGTACGACATCGGTATACACATACACATGCAGGCAATACACACATACACATGAAGTAAAAATAAAAATTTACTGTTATTTTTATGTATATGAGTGTCTTACCTAAATGTATAGGCACCACATGCAGGCCTGGTCACCAAGGAGGTGAGACTTGAACCTCGGTCCTTTGCAAGAGCAGCCAGCTCTTAACCTCTGAGCCATCTCTCCAGCCCCAATAAATAAAAAGTTTTAAAAAGAATCTGACTGGGGGCTGGAGGCTGAGGGTATAGCTCAGTGGTAGGACACTTGCCTGGTATGCACAAGGCTGGGTGAAAGGAGAGATGTGACCCCTGCAAGTTGTCTTCTGACTTCCACACGTGTGCCTGTGTGCGTGCACACGCACGTGCACACACATACACACAATAAATAAATAAATAAATAAATAAATAAATAAATAATTTTTTAAAGAATTAAAAAGAGGGGCTGTAGAAATGGCTCAATGGTTAGGAGCACTGACTGCTCTTGCAGAGGACCCGTTTTCAATTCCCAGCACCCACGTGGCGGCTACCAACTGTCTTTAACTTCAGTTCCAGGGGAATCCGTCACCCTCTTCTGACCTCCATGGCATTGCATGACACAGGTGCACTCACATACATGCAGACAATACATTCATACACATAAAATAAAAATAATAAAATATTTTAAAAAAAAGAATTAAAAAGAGGGGCTGGAGAGATGGCTCAGTGGTTAAGAGCACTAGCTGCTGCTGGGGGCTGGAGAAACGGCTCAGCAGTTAAGAACACTGACTGTTCTTGCAGAAGACCCGGGTTCGAATCCCAGCACCCACATGGTAGTTAACAACTGTCCGTAACTCCAGCTCCAGGGGATCCCACAGCCTCTTCTGACCTCCGGGGGCACTGCACAACACGGGAGCACTTACCTACATGCAGGAAATATATGCATACACATAAAATAAAACTTAAAAAGATTGAAAAAAAGAGCACTGGCTGCTCTTGCAGCACACCCAGATTCAGTTCCCAAAACTCACATGCCCTCTTCTGATCTCCATGGGCAGTGTATGCATGGGTACACTTACGTACATTCAGGCAAAACACTCAGACACATAACAATGAAAAAAATTAAGATTTATTTTAAAAACAAACAGACAAGCAAACAAAAATACAATTCAGAAAAACCCTGGCTGAGTTTTAGGCCAACCTGTGGTATACAGCCAAGACCTTGTTTCAAGAACTATTGCACTTAGAGGAAGGCAGACCTCTGTGAGGCCCTGTCTCAAAAAAAGGAACAGAGAAAGAGACTTCAGGGTTTCAAAGTGCTTTGGGGGTCATTTGAACATTGGCACCATCTCATAGTAAATGAGACAATACATTTATACACATAAAATAAAAATAATAAAATATTTTTTAAAAAAAAGAATTAAAAAGAGGGGCTGGAGAGATGGTAAAATGGTAAAATCCCATCAGTGGCACTGTGAATACATATATATGGAGCAGGTAATCTGCAACCACATACTACCCTTATCTGAGGATGTAGCCAGTGGCAGTGGACTTGCCCAGCATGCTCTAGATACGGAGATTCTATCCCCAATGCTGGAGAAAAAAGTGCATCTAATAGACACATACGACCATTTCTTTACATGCAGAGTCTTCATATTTATCTCCTCCTATTGGAGAATGCAGAAAGATTATGAAGTCAAGGAGCTGAAGTTCCCTTAGACCAAGCACATGGTCATGAAGTCTGGACACAAATGTTCCTGCTAAATATTCTATTAATGAGACACAAAAGCACAACACAAAGGAAGACTGATAACATTCAGACTAAGAAAAGGTAAGCTCCTTAAAACCAGATACTCAGTGAAATTCCCAAGGCCACAGCAAAGAACAGGAACCATGGCCACTCATGGACTTGGATACCTTCTTCTCCTTTAATAACTCAATTTTGTTATCAAATATAGGCCCAATTCAGAACCTATCACAACTCTATATGGTTTTATTTTGGAGATACTGTCTTTTTAGTCTCAGGATTGTGCGTAGTATTGAAAGGTCTAAAATCTAGTTAATATGTTTTATTCCTATTGGTTTATGGAATAAATTATCTGGTCTCTGTGCATTGTGCATGAATCACCATAAAAATAATTTTTTTAAAAAAAATCATTTTTGGCCGGGCATGGTGGCACATGCCTTTAATCCCAGCACTTGGGAGGCAGAGGCAGGCAGATCTCTGTGAGTTCAAGGCCAGCCTGGTCTACATAATGAGGTCCAGGACCTCTGTAGGGAGGCCCTGTGTCAAAAAGACCAAAAAAAGAAAGAAAGAAAAAAAAAAACCTTAAAAAAACATAGGGGGCTGGAGAGATGGCTTAGCAGGTAAGAGCCCTTGCTGCTCTTGCAAAAGACCCAGGTTTGATTCCCAGCATCCACTTGGTAGCAAACAACCATCCATAACTCTAGTTCTAGGGGATCTGATGCCCTCTTCTGACCTCCACAGGCATTGTACAACACGGGTACACTTACACACATGCGGGCAATACATTTGTACATATAAAATAAAAAATAAATAAATGAAGAAAAATAAAAATGAGAAAGAGCTGGATGTGGTGTCACAGGTCCTTTAATCCCAGCACTCAGGAGGCAGAGGCCAGTCTGGTCTACACAGTGAATTTCAAGCCAGCGAGGACTACATAGTGAGACCCTTCTCAAAAAAAAACAACAAAATAAAGCAAAGCAACCAAAAACCCAACCAAAAAAAAGTACATTCCTAGGCCAAGCAGGATGGCACATGTTTGTAATCTGAGTCCTTGAGAGTCAGTCACAGGAAGATCACTGTAAGTTTGAGGTTAGCCTGGTCTACAGTGAGTTCTAAGCTTCCTAAGGCTATACAATGAGATCCTGTCTCAAAAAAGAAAAATCTACCTTCCTGCTTTTGCTTGTGCCTTTTCAGGAGAGATGCTGCATGCACTATCATGTCACAAATCCCATTTTTGTGGAAAGATGATAGGCTATACTTCTGTTCTGTTTTGGGTGATGGTAGAAGTTGGGTTTGCTTTTTTTTAAATTTTATTTATTATTTTTATTTTATGTGTATGCGTGTATTGCCTGAATATAGGTAAGTGCACCCATGTCCTACAAAGCCCACAGAGGTCAGAAGAGGCTGTCAGATCCCCTGGGACTGGAGTTATGGACAGTTGTTAACTGCCATGTGGGTGCTAGGATTCGAACCTGGGACTTCCACAAGAACAACCAGTGTTTTTAACCACTGAGCCATCTCTCCAGCCCCCGGATTTGCTTTTTATTTAAATTTAATTTTATGTGTATGAGTGTTTTGTCTGTATATATGTAAGTGTATCACATGTGTGCAGTGCCTGCAGAGGCCAGAAGAGGGCATCAGATCCCCCTAGGCCTGGAGTTAACAGTTGTTAGCTGCCATGTAGGTGCTGACAGCCAAACCCTAGTCTTCTGCAAGAGCTGTCAGGGCTCTTATACACTGGGCCATCTCTGCAGCCCTTACTCTTATTTTTACCTATTACCAATATCAGTGCCTGTCCAACTCCAAGACCCAAACTAAAACTAGAGAGTTAATTCGGTTTTTCTTACATTGCCTTGAATGTCCACATACAGGTATTAGACAACCTGCTGTTCCAACTTCTGTATCAAGTGTACAGACAGTTGAAGAACAAAGAGAAGGTTTTTGTTTTTGTTTTATGCTTTACTTTTACAAGTTATTTTTACTGAGATATTGAACTACAACTATAAGAACACAAGAGGTCATCATGG